ATTAGGACCCACACAGACCGCAGGGTGAGCGCCTCCTACTGGCCCCACTAACACCTCTCCAAGTAGCAACCTTAGTTTTTCCCAGGAGGTCTCCCCTCCAGGTACTGGGTTTCCTGCCGTGAGTTGCAGGGTGACGTGGCTGCCGGCAGTTATCTTTCGAACACGTCTGAACGCAGACCCCTCTTTTGGCCCCCCCCCAGGTCGGATTCGATGGGAGCGTGGCGTTCGAAGAGGTGCACTTCAACTACCCGTCCCGGCCCGCGGTGCAGGTCCTGCGGGGCCTCAGCCTGCAGGTGAAGAAGGGGCAGACCCTGGCGCTGGTGGGCAGCAGTGGCTGTGGCAAGAGCACCACCATTCAGCTGCTGGAGCGCTTCTACGACCCTCTGCGGGGCAAAGTGGTGAGAGCGGGAGGGGTTGGGCCGTCGCCGAGACCTCACACACCCCCCCCACGCTCAGAACGCGAGCTGCTCTGCTTACTCCCCTGTGTGACTGCGCCGCTGAAATCTGTCCTCCCCTCCTGGGCCTTTCCACAGTCGGGAGGGCCGATTTTAAATGAACAACTGTAACTTTTTTAATCCCTCTCCATAAAGGAAGACAAAACAGACCGAATTCCTTAATGTAGTATGCAGTACCGATACTTTACGGAAGGATGGTCTCAGCTGACAAAATTAATATGAAACGCTATCCTTACCCTTCTGCAAATGACTGAATATCACAGCCATTGCACTAGAAGGCCCCATAGACAAACCTGGATTCTTAGACTCAAGATTAATTAATATTAAGATCTACTAAGTAAAATGTTCACCATTTATCCCAGTACAACAGTAAGATATTGAGGACAAACCTCAATAATATTTTTTAAGGGCAAAAAAGGAAACAATACTTGTCTTATGCAAATTGAACATTTAATTATCAAATTGTGCATGTTAATTTTCCTCAAATTTAGTTTTTTGGTAATGTGTCCCTGATGTGAACTGACTTTTGTGTTCTGTATAAATCCAGAATAACCCGTGTTTTCACTCTTGGCATCTTTCCTAGATATCTGCTTAAAGTTCTCCAGCAAGCTGGTTAATGTTAAACAGAGTATCATCTTAGATCTGCATGGCAGAGTTCATCACACAATAAAAGTAGTGTGAACAAAGGTTCTCATTCAATAAATATTGCAAGCTGTATTGTGCAGAATGTCATTCTTATAGGTGAAGGGTTTACTGCACTCTTGAAGCTCAATACTGTAATGCACTGGAGAGGTGGTCATATGGGAAATGAGATGACTGATCATTTTTCAAAACACTTATACTGTATACATTTCTGGAAAATACTGCCTAGACAGACGGTTGATCCAGGCAAAACTCACACAGTACATTTTCCGTAAGAAAAGCCCAGACATACAGTTGAAGCTCACAATGGAAATCATCCAGTGGTGTAAGAATAATATTTCAGGATTGATCTGAATTAATCAACCTTTATTGCTCTTAAGGGAGTTTGTCTTGCACATCAAGAGCTCTAAAAACATACAACATACATGACAATAATACATGACGATAAAACAGCAGTTCAATACCATGATACAAAACAACATTTAACAAAAGTGCTCCATCAGAACAGTTAGCTACTGCCCAATTAAATGATCAAGGTGGCCTCCTATTATTGCATTCTACCTGGCAAAGGGAGAGTAATGTCCAAATCTAACCTAGAAGTCAAATCCTTCCTTCTTGGTCTCTGTTTTAGATACTGGACAAACATGACGTGAAAGATCTCAGCATCCACTGGCTGAGGGCTCAGATGGGCATCGTCTCCCAGGAGCCCGTGCTGTTTGACTGCAGCATTGCCGAAAACATCGCCTACGGGGACAACAGCAGGGAGGTGAAAATGGAGGAGATTGTACAAGCAGCGAAAGCAGCCAACATTCACAGCTTCATTGAAGGCCTGCCTGATGTAAGTGTACTGACTAGCTCTTGGAAACCCTCAGCATTCGGGTGCAGATCACTGTATACCACCTCAATTACCCCTTGTCAGCATTTGAGATTTACCAGACTAAATCTTAAAACCACGTCTGTTATGTATTCTGGGACCATACCTTTCGAACCTTAAAATGCAGTATGGAATTCGGTTCTTTGTGGAATTTGTTTTTGAGGAAGAGAATGTCGGTTGCCTTAATTCCTCAAACAGATCAGCGAAGATGGCACTTTTTGTTTTTTAGAAATACAACACCTCAGCTGGTGACAAAGGGGCACAGCTCTCCGGAGGACAGAAACAGCGTGTAGCAATTGCCAGAGCTATGGTCCGAAACCCTAAAATCCTGCTTTTAGATGAAGCTACATCAGCATTGGACACCGAGAGTGAGAAGGTACACATTCTAGCTTTTTAAGTGTTTTTCAGTTTAAAATATTTTGTTAGGTTGGATAGAATAATCAGAATATCATCTGTATTGATTCTGCAATGCTCAAAAAATTAACTATATGGTGATACAGCTGTCAATGTTTTAAGCTTTTTATAATTTATAATTTTAATTATGTTAACCATGTGTTCGTGCAATCCAAAAATTGACCATCACTCCTTGATGACTTAAATAAGACAGAGTGAAGGCAATTCAAGATTAATGACGTCTACTAATGGCCTCCTAATAATACTGCATTGGCTCCTGCTGTTCTTCCCCAACAGATTGTGCAGGAGGCTCTTGACAAAGCCAGGGAAGGAAGGACCTGCATTGTCGTAGCTCACCGGCTCTCCACCATCCAGAACGCAGACAGAATCGCTGTGTTACAGAACGGCCAGGTGGTGGAGCAGGGGACACACCAGCAACTCCTGGCCAAGAAGGGTGTCTACTACTCACTGGTCACAGCGCAGATAGGACACACCTAGGAATGACCAACATGCGATAATAGGATATTGGCTCCTGCCATGGCAGTACAACCATGCATTTAAAGGGACTGAGATGTTGAGACGATGAAGAAGAAGATAGTAGAAGAGGGACACATGAGTTGAGTATTTACTTGAACACCAGGCCATGCTAGGGTTCAGCTGTTCTCAGCCCAGTCTGGGGGAAGAAAGATTGATGCTCGTCAGGCACAAGGTGAACCTCAGGGAAGGAAACCTGTGCACATGGATTTAGGTCCATTCACAGATACACTGTAAAGTGCAACTATCTTATCTTATTCATGAACTATACTCAACAAAGTCTGTAGCGTCTCTGAACTTTCTGCCTCAGAGAGGAAGAGAAAATGTCACCCACACTTCTCCGACCTCATCTGCGGCCTTCCCGCTCAATGTTTAATCCTGTTCAGTACCTGGTTTCTGCCTGGGGCCCCGCAAGATGTTATCCATTGAGACTAATTAGACAACTACTGTAAATACATTATTTCATATCTAGTCTTTCCATATGAACAATACTTATGGCCTAGGGTCCTAATCACAACTCTGAAATCAGAATACATTGGAATATTCAGTGTGCAAGTTTCATTTCATGGTTTTCGGTTCTTATATGTTCACATAACCTTAATGACATGATTATTAAGTTAAGTGTTTTACACCAGTCAAGTTCGACCTCTCTTAGTTAACCCAACATTTGCTGTTTAAAAAATGCAGTATATAGTGTGGGAGAATAGTAATATTATTGCTGTGTTTTTTCTACATAGTAAACCATAAACTGGCCAAAGTTGCCTTAAATCTAAATGTGGAAGATATTATATATATAATTATAATTCAAATGCAATTTGTAATGCAACTGGAAATAATTATACAAATCTCAGCATTTTTTACTTGATTTTTGTACCATTTGGTGCTAGACTGACGTACAGGACATGTTTGCTTTTATTCTAAGAATGTTTAAGTATTCCTCTTCTTCTATGATGTACTTTCAATTCTAAATAAACAATTTAAAATAAGTTGAATTTAAAATACAGTACCACCACACCAGTTAGACTAATTAAAATGGAAATGCAGTTTGGTTCGCTGGAACAATAGTGCCGACTCAATACAAATCTGAGTCAAAACATGCCTGATCTCAGAGTGAGAAGTTTTTTTTTTAGGCAAAATGAATATAAAGCTTATAAATGAGAGGCTTCTCAGCCATTTTTGTTTATTGGGATGTTTGAAGATTATCAATCTACAGTATTGATCTCAGCTAGATGTTTCTTGAAGGATGATGCATTCGCCCCTTGTTTTTATTGGTGCTTTAATTTCGTAAGCCTCAAGCCTTGTCATGCATCACACCGCCTCACAGTATTGGGTATGGAATGATGGTACAGCATAATCTAGGTACAGTATTTTTAATACATTTAGAATCGCCAATTACTTTTTGTTACACCCACCAAATTTAGAATCGCCAGTTTGTTTTTCACATCTAAAAGTTGTGGTCGAAGCTACTGACAATACAACCACACACGGGAGAATGAGGAAGTGCAGGTGAATTCCTCCAACCTGCCCTCGTCATAGGCACCACTGCGGAGGAAGATTGGCGCAGAACCATGGAGACATGTCCTCTAACAACAGCACCACTGGAGTGAAGCACAAAAGTCCGGAAGGTGGCAGACAAGGGAGAGCCCAGGCTGACTACTCCCATAAAGCTCCTGGGGGTTCCCCATCAGAGTCGGCTAGCGCCATGACTCCGTCAAGGATATCAGAAGCCAAGATTGTCCTTCAACGTGGATCACACCTTCCCCCTTCTCTCAATTATGGACTAATGTCTTTTTAAACCCTCTCATTTAGGGATCTGTTTTTCACATCTCTTTCACAGATCTTCAGACCCTTTCTCACCTGCTCTGTCCTGTGTCCTCCTGTGCTTCATATGCCTGCCACTTTCCTCTCTCTCCCTCACATCTGAAGAAGGGCACAACAGTCAAAATGTAATGTTCCTTCTGTCTGCTTTTCGTGGAATTAACCTTTACATTCCACAGATGCAATATACTACACAGTATAGTTTGCAAATAACGAAATATAGTTCGGACTTGCCCTCTTCTCTTTTTGTTTTCCTCTGTGAGCTGCCCTCTACTGGTAATTTCTGCTCTTCTTTGCATGTTCTGTAAAATTAATTTACTCCTGAAACCATAAACAATACATTGATCTTAAACAACTTAAAACCTCAGGATAACTGATCGGACTTAGTATTTCTACATTCACAGTTTGCATTTCCTGAAATGCTTGATAACCTAACTTTTAAACAAACACTTAATAAGACAAAGGCAAGTTAATCAATTGTTTTATTAATAAGTGCTAAAGAAACCCCAAAATGATCCCATGAATCCCATTTCTGATGCTGTTGGAAAGTACGATGGTGGTGTAATTGTTACATACTGTATATGCCAGCTTAATAGTTACACATTTCATCATCCCAACTATTATTTTGACAGTCTTTAACGTGGAACATAATCTTATCATCACACATTAACATCACCGCACAGATCCAGACTGGTTGTTAATTAACATGGACATAGATTCAATGTACCTCAACATATTTTCAAGTGTACTGTTGAAATCTGTTGCATGCATAAAGAGTTTCTTTGGAATCCACGGGAAAAAAGCCCTTTTATATCATTTTCAAATATGTGAATAAATACAACTCTTTAACATCGAAAGCAGTTGAAAGTACAGTAATTCCATACTAACAAAGCAAAAAGTGCACTGATTATTTTGCTTTGTAGAAGTTTAGGATAATATTTTTGTTACATTTTAAATGGTCATTTTATAAAGAGGAATACCATTACCTTACAACTTATAAGTTTATATGGACCAACTTATAAGGACCAACTTGAACTGGAATATGACTTTTTTTTGCTTATGATTTTTAATTACTTGTTAGTTTTGGGATTTCATTGGTTTCTCAAAAACCCACCATGGGCCAAGAAGCACTCTACAAACAAAAACATTTGGGAGAGCTTTTAAAAGTGTTTTTTAGTGTTTCAAGCTTATTAAACACTAGGGATAAGACAACAAGCTTCTAGCCTTCATGTAATTAGCTTTCTGAGAAGCAAACAAGCAGTTGCAGTCCTGCTATTTTTATAACTTGACTGAATGCAGTTATGAAGATTACTAAAGTCACTCTGGAGATCTTCAAATGCACCACCAGCAGCATCAGTAAAAGCATATCACTTAAGTTAAGATTAGAACTGAGGTGAACTGAAAGATTTCATTAATATTTAAATATGTAGAGATGTAAGGCTCTACCGGGAGCATTACCGGGAAATACAGTTTCTGGCTTCTCTAAAAAATACAAAATACATGAAACCGAGGATTTTTTAAAAGGCCGTTAAAAACTAAAAAAGCTTTAATTTGTATTTCATTAATTTCCTATTGAGACTGCCTCCGATCTTAACTGTAGATACCCTAAGTCCCAGAACCAGTGGACTCAAACTACAAACATAATCAATCAAAATATAAAGATGTTTTTCTCTGAAAAAAGCACATAGAAATGCAGCTTCTGCAATCAAGTAGTAACATTCTGAAGTTAATCTGCTAAAGTTGAGGTCACTCCAGATTGCAAAAATACAGCAAAAAAAGTTAGCATTGTTAATAGGAAATTAACAAAAAAGGAATATAAAATTGCTTGCATTGTTACTGCACAATAATTGTTTGCATTGTTCTGTGCACAATTAAAAAACACTGCATTGTTACTGCAAAAGTCTGCGTTGAGCTGGATTTGAATTGCCTTTGTGTTTTTTTGTTTTAAAAAAATCTTTTCTCTGTCTATAGCTGGGAGAGAGTCATTAGCTGCAGCATCTCCTGGAAAGAGGTGGTGAGGTTCTGGTACAGCTTCTCAGCGTCAGTCTCTGGGCAGGATTTCCAGGCTGTGCAAGACACTACAATCCTGAGGGTAGAGAGAAACAGCAGGCTGAACAGCAGACACAGCCTGGGCATGAACAGTGAACAGTTCCATTTCCACTAAACTGCAGCGTGACTCGCATACTTCAATATGCTTATGCTGCACATACTTCAATATTCAATATGCATTAGAAACAGACATGCTGCAGATGAGGTCGCGCAGACTTCAATGGTCAGAAAGTCAGTCAGAGTTACCTCTCTAAAAGTCCCTAGCACAAACGCTCAGTGATTCTACAGTATACACTCTGCAGAGACTTATACTCTAGGCCAGAGGTTCTCAAATTATTTGGACCAAGTACCACCCCTGATCAAACCAAAGCATCCAAGTACTACCTACAAGTCATCGTCTCACAGGGACCCCAGAAAATCTCAATGACCAACATGAGCGCACGCACACGCACACACATATAATAAAAATATCCCTGAGCACTTAATTTGGATCGCACCGTCTTGTAGCCGTTTTCTGACGCTTGCCAACACTAGCAGTGCTGTCTGTGTCAGGTTCAGCAGAAGAGCTAGTGTCGGCGGCTGCTAGGGTTACCATACGTCTGGATTTTCCCGGCCATGTCCTCTATTTTGATCCTTATATCTCTGTCCAGGGGGGAATTTTCAAATATCCAGAAATGCCCGGGATTTTGATTCCATTATTTCAGTTATTCAGTTTTCGTCCTGTACGTGTATGATTATGTCATGAGAGATCGAAATCAGGCGCCAATATCAGTGTCTTTACTCCGTCTGTGCAGTGCAGAAGCATTCCCTCGAAAGGCTCCCTAATTTGTTTCTCGTTTTCCTTCAAACACAATGCCAAAGCGAAAGTGGAAATTCACAGCAGAACTAAAAAACTCATGTCCGTCTTTTTGAAGTGGCAGAGAAGACTGGGAAGTTGACTAGACAAACACAAAAAGGCAATTCGAGGAGAGAGTCTGTCAACCAAATTAACAGATTATTTTGTAAAATCTGGCAGCAAAACAGAGGATACTGTTATTGCACAAGAGGGGACGTATGCATTTCTCACAGCTGAACATAATCAAAGTTACTTTACCAATGAACATAAAATGTGGGATATTTTGAAAACCCTCTCCATCCCGACCCCCTTCCCAGATAAGGCAATAGGAAAGTTTCTCAGGGTGTCCTCTTTTTTTGGTGTTCAAATATGGTAACCCTAATGGCCGATGTATAATCCTCCTTGTTCTCAACGGGTGTGCGTGATCAACTGAGGTGGCGTCATTACTCTTGGCATCTACTCCTTTCAGCCATGACATACTGTAATACTTGATTTGTGCGAGGTATTCATTTTCAATCTCTTGTTCTGTTGGCGAATGTGGCGCTAAGCTGCGTCTCTGAAAGCTCGAGAGGAGTCTGAACACTCAAGTACGTAGGCTGCGTATTTGATACAAACTAATTGTATTAAAATAGAAAATACGAAAGCCCATCTCAGGCTTTCTGAAACCGATTAAGTAAATTACAGATGAAAAATTTACATTATTTGTAATTATTAAATTATTAATTCCCAATTTTTCAGTGTCAATTTCCAGGGTCATCTGGTGCACTACCTGGGGGCACTGTGGTCTGCGTACCACAGTTTGAGAACCACTGCTCTAGGCACTAGGCACTAGACACTATATAAACTCTCAAACCATCAGTATTTTTTAATAAGTGGGAAGAAGTGAATATGATGAAATCCTTCAAAACACTATCATTGAGAGAACAACAATACAATATAACAATGTCCTTGATCTTATTTACCACCTAATCATTAGCTAATCAATGTATACAAAACTCACAAGCTCAGTCTAAGACTGCAGTTCATGAGTTTTCTCCTCAAGTTCACTGGCCACAGTGACAGAAAAGTGAGACATGGCACTATGAGCCAACCTATTCACAGCTGATCTCCAAGTCAAAGTATCTCAATAAGGACCATCTTAACAGTTCTGCAAACTGCAGAGATACAGTATCCTCGACTGATGCACTGCCTCCAACAGTGGAGTGACTTAAGAATCGGGCATTGTCTTACCTATCGTCTCTGATGCGGTAGAAGAAGCCATAACCATGATGAACCATCGGTACTACAGCCCCAAGCACAGTAGTATAGCCCACAAGACTGGTTGATAGAACAAAATTCCCTCCTCCACCACTAAGAAGATATTTGAAATAAATTAGTCATGCTATACTTAAGGCAATACTTTAAAATAACAAAATGTGTGCTTGTACATTTAACTGAATGTCAATGAAAGCATTTGTGTTAATTTTTCAACATGACTTCTATGAGAAGATGATGTTCTCCGTTGTGTTTGTAATATTTTTTCTATTTTAAGCCATAAAAATATACAAATTGAATTGAATCAGGAAGAACTTTGCTACACAATTATAAGCACCAAAGCACTACAATTATCATGGCAGGGGCTTTGGAAAATAAACTAGGTACATCTCAAAAAGCCATAATTATTTTTATTTTATTATATGTAGAACATTTGAAAATAGTAAATTAGTGTTTTGTCAGCTTTTGTCAGTAGCCTGAAAAACAATTAGGCTTTAAAACAAACAAGAACCGAATGGGTGAATGCTTTTCATAAAAGACATTTTACCTTTTAGAATAGGCTGGATCTTGGTAGAGTTCAGGAACAGGGAGGCCTTCTCCTTTTGCAATTAGATACAATCCCAGCAAGTGTCGATCAAAACCTACCAGCCCATTGAAGAATAGAAAGATTTCTTTTGTTCTTTTACAATAATCCAAGAGGGTATAATACATGAAAGTACGCTAAATTTTCAGACACTAAGTGAGTTTATTATTTAACACATTCCAGATGTACTTATTTTTAGGTGTAGAATTCACCAGAAAAGCACACACCTTTCCCATTCTGAGCTTCATTCATCAGCTTGTTGTGCTTTGCAACTGCGATTAACAAACACTTTCGTTTTGTCTCTGTCTGAAAGGGACAAACAAAATCAAATCAGCAGATCACACAAATATAAGTAGGCAACATACACAGCAATACAACTTGGCATCAATCAAAACTTTTCATTTCCCATCCAACAGAACAGTGTTTGTGAAACACTGGAGCATATATTGTATGTGACTGCCAAATGTCAGTATCAGAGCTGATCAAAAGTTCATATAGGCTTTTAAGGCGGTTTGTCTGAAAGCTGCTGTTGAGGAAAAGGTACGTAATATTAAAAAATCAAATGCATAATAATAATGATGAGAAATAAGGATGGGGGAAAAAACTTTCACGTTCTTAAAAATGTATAAAGAAAACAAAGGCATTGCCATTTTTCATCTGCCAATAAAAAAGGACTGATTATTAGACAATACTGACAACCAGGAAAGGGCCCCTCAGAAGCTGTTAAAACCCTTCTTACTCTGCAGTAACTCTCAGGAAGATTTATATTCTGAATTTGAGAACCGGTGTAGGGTGTTAAGTAATATTTAGTTTACATTTACATACTAGTATTTCTGGAATTAATCATCTTTGAAATATAAAGCGTTGTGCCTAAATGGTACATTTGCTGTACCAAGCAAAACAAGCCAGCATTCCTGCCATGACGCGTTTTATTTGCTGAATCGAACAGCAGTGGTCAGAGGAGGTGAGTTACAGGCCAGCCTCCAATGAACTGTCCATTAAAAGTTAGAGAAATGCATAATGCCCATTGCTTCTCATGGCAGCCATACATTAACAGAGGGATCCAGCATGGCCTTGCACCACTCCAGAGCCTCCAGAGTGCAGGGCCGCATGGTCTCCGTGCGTCCGTGATAGAAGCGCCTGGTGGTGGC